CTCGGTGTGTATATGCTTAAAAAATATAAAGTTTTCCAAGTAGTCAAGCAGTCAAGTGTTTTCTTATCAGGCAACTCAAGCAGTAAACTCGCTAAATTTCGACCGTCCAAGTGGTCAACTCAGACCCGAGACTGGGCACCGATAATATGGCCCCGACCATTCGCACCGGCGCAGATTCTTAAAGGTATCATGTCAACGGGTTGAAGTAGGGTGTGACGGCGCGGCTGGCTCGGCGAACGCGCCTCAAGACTCGCCAGGCTTGAAAGTAGGCGTTCACTGACTCTCATCAGTGCCAAAGGTTATGCCAGCGGGTTGATAGAACCCCATAGAGCTGGGTCCCTTTTCCGTTGGCTGCCGACGTCTATTGAGAGTGAGGGTGAGCAAAAGACCGAGGAGAGCTACACGGGAAAAGCCGGCCGGGCGAGTGTCGGAGGACGGGGAAGAAAGAGGAAGAATAGCCGTTTCAACGGTAGTTACCTAAGCGAATGTGCTCACCTTGGTGTTTCTGCTCGGTCCTTCGACTTTGAGCTTCTGCCGCCGACTGGCATGTGACAATCTTTGGATAGGGTGGAGGAACACGTGCAGCCATTGAACAAACGCTGTTCTTTTGACCATGGCACGATTAAGGCCTCGTGATGCCTATACTATCAGGCCAAAGGGCCGGATACCGTGGAGCCGTAGCGATATATTTAAACCATAATCGTTTTTCTCTTCGAATCCCCAAACTTATACGCTCTGATACATGACTCTGATCATCAACCAAAACCCGATCGATCGGCTGATACGTCAAGGCCTTGCGATTAAGTTGTAATCACTCAACAAGTTCGAATCGTCGCTTCGAGGTTCCTAGAAATTGGCAGTCACTTACAGTATTTTCTCCTTTTTATCTTCAAGACCAGCGAGAGGCGAAGTTGGTTGGTATGCTTGACACAGTCTTTTGCTGAAAATAACTACCTATATCAGCCGATGGTAATCCGTAGATGTTCCCAAACAATATCGACCGGGTCAAACGTCGAATCACATGTTGATCAATTAGGTACACTACGCTAGTCAGGCCGTCGATCGCTCATCATCCGGTGTCCGATCATGAACTCCTACTACCTAATCAACTGCTTATGATTCAATCGTACTTACTCGATCTTCGGATGCCCGTCCATTATGATATGATCAATGGTCTGGCCGACATGTAGATTGGTGCGGATATCGTATTACGACTGGTACCTACCTAAACTTTGGCGCGGCTGTCGTTTGCCTACGAAGTTGGGGACCGGACGTGTCCCGCAATCGCTTCGGTGCCAACGCGACTGAATTCTCCTTGTCAAACGGAATGGTGATTTGCCGTCGTACCCTAGTTTTTCGGACTAAATTGAAGAATTCTCGACAGCCTTAGAAATCGACTTAATGCCTATACCTCTCTACTCGTTTCCCCCAAGCGATACAGACAGACGTATTAAGCTAGGTCAGAGATGTACTGCCCCTTTTCAAGCCAAACCACCTAGGTGCTTACTCACCCAGCAACATCTCGACTACCTAGTGTAGGTACCCACCTACAGATTCGTCCTTGTATGCATACACTACTTACCAACAAACGCCGACGCCGAAGACGAGGCTATCACGTGCGATCTTGAGCTGGTCCAAGACAGCAAAATTGTAATTGATTACTCAACCTATGAATGGGTACCTACCTAGTATATAGTAGACAACTTACTTGCTATATATAGGTGCCTGAACAGTCTCGACTTCAAAGGCACGATTTCGACACCACAGATCGGCGGCCCCATACCACCATAAACCACGAGTACCTTACTTACCTACCTATCCGGGGGACAGAACGAGAGTCAATCTTTCTACCTACCTTACACTAGGTAACCTACCTACGGTAACCTACCTACTTAGAACAAGGCTTCTTGGCCATGCATTTAGCCGGGCCAACGAGCGCGTTTTGGATGCGGGCTTCGGAACAAAGTCAGTCGAACTTCCAACACATAGATATGTGCCGTATATCGTACTCGTAAGTAAGTTACAGTAGTAATGTGACGATTTCGTAGCTTCATACCTGATTACGACATGCCCGCCTACGTTTATTCTTGTCGAGCGAGTTATGAGTTAGTGCTTCTCTGGCATGATGCGGTCAAAAGCCACGAACAGCGAGTCGAGTAAGTCTTTGGAGAAACCGCCGGTGAGACAGGAGATGCACTACCCGCAATTGTTTTTCCTTCTCACGACTTGACCGGATATTGTCCCCATTTTTTGCCTTTGTCAGAAGCAGTACCTATTCATACGACATACTTACACTCACCACTTGGGCACCTGAGCAGAGGGGTAGAGGGTACAAACAAATTGGGGATGGACAATCTACGTTTTGTTTAACTATTCGAAGAACGTACCGAGTACCGAAGGGATCATACGTACTAAGTGTAAAAAGCTTGGGTGTACGTAGTATGTATATAGGAGTTCAAGTCTGAAGCAGTGAAAAAGGGGGCGAAATACGGGCCCGTACGGTCAAAGCGCCATGTGACACCCCAGAATCGTACCCGGTTAAATATGCCGGCCACCTTAACCCAATCCAGGAGTTCTAGCGAGTGTTCAAGCCGGCGTCGTCCTCATCAGCATCGGATACGCTTAACGCCGATTGGTCACCACTTACGTGGGCCCCAAGTCCAATCATCGAGCCTATGATCGAGGTGCTCGTGGTTCGTACGGTAGGTACTTAATAATGGTGTGTATCTCCAGAATGTACGTAAGTAGAGCTGATATCTAACCAGATCTAGCAAAGGCCGAGTTTAGCCGGAAAAGCCTTCAAATCCCCAGATACTCGAAAAGGTCTAAAGCCAGGTTTCGACGCATCTCGGCCCGCAGGCCCGTAAAAACTCCTGACCATGACATTGGTCAGGAAGTTTGGGGAAGTTGGGGAATATGGAGAAGTTGAATGCAAGGAATCATTCCGCAGTGCGTTTGACTAGGTAGTATCACGAGATCGCCCTAGAGAAGCTAGCGATCGACGAATTCTAGATGGGGAAATCCAATACCGGTAGTGTACGTACGTATGTAATTCGATGATGATGCAAACGTTTGAAGCGTTTGAGGCCCGCCGGGGTAAATATCCCATGGTGATAAAAAATGTACCGATGGCCGTAGGAGTATATAATGACCGCTCTGGCCTTTCTCAAGACCAATCCGCCTGCGTGCATGCATCCAAGTTCATAGCCTAGATCCTGCACTGACTAGCCCACAGGGTAAATGTGGGGGGACATGAAGCTCATATCTTTCGCGGCAGCTTGTCTGCTGTCATCAACATACGTCGTGGCAGCTCCATCGAAAGCCGAGGATAAACACTGGGTAGCCACATGGACATCAATGCCCCAATTGGTTGAGCAGGCAAACCTGCCTCCGGCTCCATTCGTCAGTATAATGCAAAAGTCTTCTCATAAGGGCTGATGCTGCTCCTGTCCATGTTACCCAGTCTCTAACGTTGTTGCATAGACTCTGTCTAGTGTGTTCAGAAACGCCACTCTTCGACAGACGCTTCACACGTCCATCGGGGCCAAGAGAATCCGCATTCAGATCTCCAACCTATTCGGTGGCAGCACCTTACCCATAACCGCTGCGACATTCGCATTGCCTATTGGCGGTGAGGTTGGCGTGGGATCCATCGACACCACAACCATCCAGGAACTCACATTCAATGGCGCGAGCTCCGTGGATATCCCCCAGGGTGAGACGGTCTACACCGACCCCATCGACGTCGAGATCGGCCCGCGATCCATGCTCACGGTCTCGCTCTACTCCGAGGCGGGTCAGTGTGGCACCAACATCACGGGTCATCCCGGTAGCCGCACCAGCACATGGATGCAGTCAGGCAACCAGGTCAACGCCCTCAACGTGACAACTGCGAACACGGCCCATTGGTACTTCCTAAGCGCTATCGAGGCCTGGGCTCCCATGTCCACAAAGGCCTTCGTGATTCTCGGCGACAGCATCTCAGACGGCCGTGGTAGCACGGACAATCAAAACGACCGGTTAGAGCGTCCCCCACGTGAAAAAGAATTGACCTTGACAATTACCAACTAACATACGCGCACATCACAGATGGCCGGACCTCGTTCTCGCCAAGATGCAGGAGAACGGCATCAAACACATTGCCGTCGTCAACCAGGCAGCGGGAGGCAACGCGGTCATCCCCGCTTCGCACGGCAACGGCCCGGCCCTAATGGACCGCTACAAGCGTGACCTCATTGGCACAGCGGGCGCGGCATATGGCATTATCTTCGAGGGCGTGAACGATATCGGAGTCGCGCCAACCGACAGAAGGACACAGAAAAATCTCGTCCAACAGCTCAAGTCCGACTTCAGAACCATGTGCAGCGCCGCCAAGGCGGCAGGAATCAAAATGTTCGGCGCCACGATCACGCCGTTCGGCGGCGAGGGGCAGGCATACAGCGTCCCGTCCCGGGATAACGCGCGGGAGAAGCTGAACAGATGGATTATGAACGGTGGTCATAATAGCTATGCGGCGTCGATCGACTTTGCCTCGTTCGTGGCGAACCCGGCGAACGCGTCCGAGCTATACCCACCGTTCGACAGCGGCGATCATTTGCACCCCAACGCGGCTGGGTACCAGGCCATTGCTGATAATTTCCCGCTGGACATCTTTGACTAGAAAGTCTAGAATATACAATATTTGGGTAGGCATGGCCGTACCATGTTTGTTACGCCCCAGAACACCCTTGTAATGAATACTAATAATAATGAGAACACACCGTAGTAGTAAGTAGTAGTCACTCAGTGGGCGTGTACGAAATGCAACAGATAGATAAGACCTGGGAAACGAACAGATAGTTTTGCGTGACAAGTGTGTGACTGGAATTATTGAAGAGCGAGCGACCGTCTGATGGTCGGAAGAAGAAAAAATAAAAAGCCCAAAGAGCTACTCGTGCCCCGCCCCTACCTTACTTACTTACCCCTAAGCTAGAGGGATATAGGTAGGTAGAAAAAAAAAACGCCCCAGGCGGGGGTCGAACCCGCAGCCTTCGGATGCCTTCAAGTAGACCTAGATCTTGGTAAAAGTCCGACGCTCTAACCAATTGAGCTACCAGGGCTAGGTAGAATGACAAATTTGTGTGGTATCCAATATTATGACTCCAGACAACCCAGTTCGCATCATGTAAGCATCGCGTTTGACTGAGCTTCAGCTGCTAGCAGTTGCTATCAGATGCGTTTTGAAGATTTTGTATGAAGTACGAGACCAAGTTGACACGGAATCGCCTGGTCCTTTCCTTGTATAGCCCTCCGCACAATTCAATTCAATCCAAACCGGACCTCTTCATCCAGCTCCGGCCCAATTGGTCCGGATGCTACAAGCTGTCCTTTGAATCTTCACCATGTCATTCCTTCAGATTTGCGGCTATGGAATGAATTGTACAGAGCACTTCCCGTGAACCTACCTAATAGTCTTGCTCGTCCTCTCATACCTTCTACATTTCTTCCCCTTTTTTTCTCCATACTTACCTAGGTACCTTGGAAGGGAGAGGAGTAGGTAAAATATGCTCATCCTCAGGGCCGGTGGGCCTGCCGTGTATATCGTGGTGTCCTTAACGCCTTATGGCCATGCCTCGTGTCATAATCTCCGTACTTTTTGCTTCCTCCGTTTCTACACTATGTCTCGATAATATACACTTATCACTGCGCGTGGTGACATGCAGACGACTTCGCCGTTAATTACTGTGACATCTGCCGTTCCCACGTTGAATCTATTTATCCATGTGCCTATCTTGGTAGGACCTGATGGCGCGATATCCAGCTTCCAGCTTCCTGACTGTCATGTTCATTGCAAGTATATCTGATGTTTGGAGGGAAGCGCAACAGCAGTTTGCATGACTACCTAGATCAGGATGATCATTGTTGCAGGGTTGTTGCTTTTCCCACATTACAAGTTGTCATTCCGAAGCACCGCCGGAATAATATATTCTTGACAACCTCTCCTTCCCTGTCAGGGACATCCACGGACACAGCACTAATAGGGACAAGAGGACCAACGGGTGGGCCCCGGCGAGGCACTAGGGGACTAGCTAGCACACATATGCCTATAAGTAGACTGAACCGCCACCTTGTAGAAGGGGAGGTTCAGGATTCAATGACCATTGACTTCTACCCTATACTACCACACCTCACTGTGACCTCGCTCATACTAGCCTCTCTCTCACTCTGGGAAGAATCCCCTTACATTCCCGCTGAAACGCCTCACACATGCCTTAGAGGCCCCTACATATTCTCGTATCCTTTCCCAAGTCTGTGCGGCACGCGCCATATAAACTGCACCCTGATCTCTGCAAACGACGCTCTCGACGTTGGCGTCTGGAAATCAGACGATGAATATTTTTGTGTTAGACTCGAGGATGAGTAGTAGTGACCGGTGGGCTTTCTGAAGTTTCAAGTACGAGCATTTTCCGGGGCGATCTGTGTTCATGGAATGCAAATACGTAATCAGTAATGGGGATGTTCTCTAGTTCAAATTGAATAGCAAGCCAGCTCTGATTTCATCTACTTGCAATGAACAGCACATTTTGTACTTTTTAAACGAATGCCCGCGCCTGGATTAGACGCGTACTGCAGTTGAAGTCCAAACATCATGAGCAGGCAGGATATATAACAGCAGCAGTCTCGGGTCTGATTACAGCGGCATCGGTAAAAATGAGTGGCAGGCATAAAATACATTGGTTTTGAAAGAAAGGAGTAGTTAGGGCAGTCGGTGGCAGGCAGAAGCTAAGTAGACATTAAGAACAAAACATGATGATAAATAACACGCTACGCTGCTTGTGCCCCAGTCTAACTCTCTACCTAAATCATAACTAAAAGGCGAGAACGAATCCTAACGACACCAAACTCAAGGCGCCAGCGACGAACTGCAAGTGAAGTTGGCTCTTAGTGCCCATCGACGTGGGGACCGTTATGGGCGTCGGTGTGTGCGTCACCACGATGCCCGTTGTGCTGTTGGCGACAGGCCTAGTCGGCGAGAGGGATACTGTCTGGGTGCTGGTGCCTGTGACGCCTTCGACGTTGCTGGTCGCTGTTGGGGGTTGAGTTAGAGACGTGAATGCCAAGTCTCAGCCTGGGGAACTGCGAGAAGATCACTTACTGGTTGGGTCGCATGGCTCCGTCATGTTATCCGGTGGGGAGGTTACAATGGAGGAGCTTATTGACTTGGATGCGGAAACGGTAACAGTGTTTCTGCTGGTTACAGTGGTGTGGGTGGTGCTGGGAACGTCGCTGTCAGGCTCGCAGTCGGCCTGCGAAACAGTGACTGTCTGGGTAACGGTCACAGGATTGGTCATGGTGATCGACTCTGTGACCGTGATTGGTAATATGGCCGAGGGAATGCTAAAATCTTCAGCACTCGGCATACTCATGGCTGCATCAGTCATCTTTCCATACCTGTATGATTCCGGTTCATTGGCCATGACCGGAGCGGCAACGAGGCCCGCGACCGCGAGAAGATTTTTTGAAACCATTCCGAAAAAGAGTGACTAATGCTGCTGTAACGAGTGACTGGAAAAAACCCTATATATGAATGGTAAGTTTCGCAAAGATAAAAGGAGAGATTACAGTGAAGGACGGAACGATGGGAATGAACTACTTTATAAACTCTCACTGAAGAGCGAGCGTTGCACTTGGTACAGTGAACGTGGCACAATTCATTAACAGCGCAAGCGTCACTGACTGAGTAAAAATGTGAGATTCATTATGCTGTTATGGATTGCATCTAGGAGGGGGTTTAAAGGTGGTACAGCAACGGGTTTGCCCATCTCTGGCTCATCGTTCATGGAGTAACTGGATCATCGGACAGAGTTTGTTTGCCCCAAACAGGATATATCTACTGTGGTACAGCAGACTCAGAGAACAGCATGCCGGAAATTGCGACGTGTCACTTCGGTCCTTACTGAAACACTCGATAGAGTAAAGATGACGACAAATCATCTGTCCATGGCGGATGAGACGAACCCTTCTCTCGGTAGCGACAAACTGGTCTTTGCGCTATTTTTGAAGGCTTGTCACTATGGCGGGCCACTCACCATATGCTGTTGTTTGTCACCTTGAAAGGGAGAAAGTAAAATCCACGAGAAGGGAGGATCGTAGGCATGAAGCAAGGCTGGACGAAAGCGCAGGGCCCTGGCATATGTCCAGGGTCGTGTGGACGGAAGCGGACACCTACACATACGCATACGCTTCCGTCACATATTGAATCAGTATCAGAAAAAGACTTCACTGACACAACCGAACCACAAAGACCATCTATTACAAGTCCGAACGGATGGCATGGTTTTGGTATCGAAGAGGAACAGTCAATGCCCGTGACCGGCTGTCTACATGACGAGGTGATGTTGTCGACCTGTTTTCATAAGCGGTGTACATGGAGTCGCCCTCCTAATTACCTCAGTTCTGTTTGGGTTCTGGAGACAGCTCAGGGAAAGAAAACAATGAGCTTCGATGAAACTTGTCCGCTTTCTGCATCATTGGCCATCAGGTAGGTCCCTAAGTATCTGGTCTGAGTGGATCCACATATTCCAATGGCAAAGGTTCATCAAGTTGATTGGAATTCCTTTACGCAGGGGTAAGTCGTGAATCGTGATTCGTTGTAGGTACTACTTGAGACTGGACGGCCCGCGTTGACGGTCTCGGTCCCTGTATATGCAGGTTTCGGCTTACTGCTTAAGAGTGCGCCACGCTTCCGGTGTATGAAGTTGACTTAGACTCTTCGGATCACGGCGTAGCCACCACTTAGGGCTGAGCCACCGGGCGGTTCAAGTCAATCATGTGGATTAAAGTCGACCTTGTCCCGGCCTAGTTGCCGCTAACTATTACTTATAGGAAGGTGAAGATGAAGGTCGGTACCTAGGCAGGAAGTGTCAATGTGATGGGCAACCATTTGCACGGGAAAGGGGCGAGATGAATCCATACTCATTTCCTTTACATATACGAACGTATACTACAAATAGAACCAAATTTGACTGGAATGGCCTGGCGTAATCCTATCGAAAATCCTGCCCTAATCATAGCCGGATACTGAGCTTCTTGACGTCAGAGACAGCGGGATATTCATAAGTACCTACTGCTTAGCGCTATTACGAAGGTACTTAGTATAAACTAAGGTGATGCAGATGTCACGGACGCCGGCGGAGAAAATTGAGACGGTACGGATCCGTATGCGCCACAGAGGTTGACGGCGAATTTGGTGTTGTTGAAGAAGAAATGCATCGTAGAAGCTGACGATTGATCGAACAATCGAGACAATACCTAAGTACTTAATAAAGCCGTATCTGAACCGCTCAAGATAGCGAGTTAGGGAATGATATCCCTTTATCGGGGTTCTCAAGTCAGTGTACGAAGTACCTCTAGAATGGGCTTACCATAGAATATGAACATTTGAGGGAAGACCTGTATTCGAAGAGCGGGGCAGTGGATTTAATTATCCGAGGGGAACTCGAAGATGTCACTTATTACCTTCGTCGTCTTCGAACACACATATGATATGATATCTCTTGGGCCTCGGCAGCCTCGATCCAACTATCCAACTTAACCTAAACTGAATCCTCACGGTCCTCGCGGATTCATCCAACTTCGTTTTACTCATCTTGCTGCCGTAAAACATCACGGCAGCGATACCAAATTTCCGACTCGAGTCATCCTACTAGGTATTCAACATGGCTGGCATTGCCGATCAGCTTGATAACCTGCCCGTAGATGAAGGTCAGCGGATTGATGTCCTGCGCCTGGTGGCTTACACAGTCCAGAATCTTTGGAACTCCGAACCAGAAGACCTCAATCTTGAATATATCGCACAAAAAGTCGGCAATGTTGCCCGCATAGAATCAAACCGATTATCTCTGGGCGAATCTGGGCTTCTCGACATCGTGTGCACTATTGTGTCGACTCCGGGAGTGAGTGTCGGTCTGATCATCCAGTGCCTCCGGATCATTGGCAACTCATCCGCCGATCAAGGTCAGTGAGAAATCTTGCGTTATCAGGATATGAATTCGCAATACTGATTAAACATCAGATGAAAACAGAGACAGGGTTGTGGCATCGGGCTGCCTGCCAAGCA